AATATACCCTAAACCCTAACCCTGGTATACCTATTCTCGATTGCGGCAAGAGCCTGTGCGAGTGCATGTTGTATTCGAGGGAGGCTCCAGAAAACAATCGCCTCCGTATGCGAGGGCATAGCAGCTCTATACCCGAACACAAAGCCCGAGCATTAAACCCTGATCCCTAATCCCTGGACCGACTTGCAGTGGCTGTTCAGTTGTTTCATGGCAGAAAGCTTATTGGGCTCAGGGGACATACTTGAACCGCAAGGCACCTTCATTTTTCAGGGTCCTGCTTCTGATTTCCTTATGCAGGTCCTCACTTTCAAAGGTTTAGGGGTTTGGGGTTTGGCTTTTGGCCGGGGGCCCCCAGTTTCAGAAAGCACTCGAAGCGGCCGTAAAACCTTTGAAGGTCAAACATCCTTTCCTGTCCAAGGCTGTCGCAGGCTCGTCTCAAGGTCACTTTCGTCGTCCCGTGTCTAACAAATTATTCTGGAGGGTTTATGTGGGTTGGAATGACATCCCGCACTCTATTTCCAGACCGATGTGGGAGTGGTGCCTTCCCTACGTTTGTTTCACTTGACCCTGCCGCTTTTTGCCTGGTGTTTAATGGGACACACTTCTGGATGATCAGTCAAAGCTCGCACAGCAATTTCCCACTGGAGCCGTATCCCAAAAACTGCCTGCCTACGTCGGCCGGTGTTGCAGCGTGCCCACCGAACTTCTGCTTCATGGCAAAGTAGCACAACGACAAAACCTTAGTGTTGCCGAGTCAGCTTTCATGTGGTGCGGGGTCGCCGGGCACCAAGCTCAAGGATGCCAGAGGCTTATTCAGATGCACCGCGGTCAGGAGAACTGCGTATTGGAGCACTGCGGCTGGGTGGTTGAAAAGCAGATGGTTGCAGCGATTGGCAAAGTACCTGCCGATTTTACCTTGCTCAAGGATGGCTGTGTCCATCAGTTTTCGTGTAGAAATTGGGTAAAACTATAGTGGCCCGACCCAGAGTGACACCCTGTAGCTAAGGTAGGAGGCCTGAAAAGTAGGCAGCACAAGTACGAGCGGTTCTTGCTTCCCTTTTATCGGTCTGTGTCATAACAGACGCAGACACCGGGAGACTGACGGAGCGGCATATCGCATGGGCTGCCAGGACGGCACAACACGCTTCGCACGAACCGAGCTGCTGGAACTGCGAAGATCTCAAGGCTTGTCATGCGTGCCTTGATGGCATTGAGCAATGCATGCTACAGCCCCTGCGCAGCCCTTCCCCTTACTTTCTGACACGGGGAGGGCTTTCGAATCCTCCTCCCGAGCAACTTCCCCAGGAAGACATGGGCTCAAGTTGCTGCAAAGTTGGAACATTCGGAACCAATCCGAAAGTCCGAGACTGCAGAGCTCCGGGCTCAGCATGATGCTGCGGCCACTCTGGGCCGAAACCACCCCCAATCATAAGGAACCCCGAGGTACGTACGTACATACATACCTCCCCCCCCCCCCTGCCGATTTTTTTTTTTTTTTTTTTGGGGTGGGAGCGGGAAGATACGTATGTACGTACGTACCTATAACTACCTACCTACCTAACTAACCAACTCTCTTGCTACACATACTAACGTACATACGTACCCAAGGAACTCCAAGGTACGTACGTACATACTAACTACCTCTCTGTACATACTAACGTACGTACGTACCTCCCCCCCCTTGGGAAACGTACGTACATACATGCACCCCCATAACGTGGCGGGGGGGGGAGGAGGTATGTATGTACGTACGTTAGTACGTTAGTACGTTAGTATACTATAACGTACTAACGTGCTAACGTACCAACGTACTAACGTATTAACCTACGAGCGTACTAACGTACGTACATACATACCTCCTCTCCCCCCCCTGCCAAATTTTTCTTCGGATGGGGCAAGGTATGTACGTACGTACCTACCTATACCTACCTACCTACTTACGGTACCGCCAACGTACTACAGTGCTCAGGTCCGAACGTACATATGTACTAACGTATTAGCGTCTTAACGTACTAACGTACTCACGTACTACCGTACTATAACGTACTAACGTACTAACGTACTATAACGTACTAACGTACGCACTAACGTACTAACATACTAACGTACGTACATACATACCTCCTCCCCCCCCCCCGGCCAAAAATTTTTTTCTGCGTCCCTACCTACACTAACGTACTAGCATACTAACGTACGTACATACATACCTCCTCTCCCCCCCCCTGCCAAATTTTTTCTTCGGATGGGGCAAGGTATGTACGTACGTACCTACCTACCTACCTACCTACTTACCGTACCGCCAACGTACTACAGTGCTCAGGTCCGACCGTACATATGTACTAACGTATTAGCGTCTTATAACGTAGTAACGTACTCACGTACTACCGTACTATAACGTACTATGTACTATCGTACTATAACGTACTAACGTACTAACGTACGAACATACTGACGTACGTACATACATACCTCCCCCCTCGGCCAAAATTTTTTTCTGTATAGCGTACTAACGTCCTAACGTACTAACGTACTCACGTACTAAAGTACGTACGTACATACCTCCTCCCCCCCCCCGCCACGTTAGTACGTTAGTACGTTCGTACGTTAGTATACTACAACGTACTAACGTGCTAACGTACCAACGTACTAACGTACTAACGTACGAGCGTACAAAAGTACGTACATACATACCTCCTCTCCCCCCCCCTGCCAAATTTTTTCTTCGGATGGGGCAAGGTATGTACGTACGTACCGACCTACCCACCTATACCTATACTTACCGTACCGCCAACGTACTACAGTGCTCAGGTCCGAACGTACATGTGTACTAACGTATTAGCGTAGTAACGTACTAACGTACTCACGTACTACCGTACTATAACGTACTAACGTACTATAACGTACTAACGTACTATAACGTACTAAAGTACTGACATGCTAACGTACGTACATACATACCTCCTCCCCCACCCCCCGGCCAAAATTTTTTTTCTGCGTACCTACCTACACCCCCTGGGATGGGGCAAGGTATGTACGTACGTACCTACCTACCTACCTACTTACCGTACCGCCAACGTACTACAGTGCTCAGGTCCGAACGTACATACGTACTAACGTATTAGCCTCTTAACGTACTAACGTACTCACGTACTACCCTATACTATAACGTACTAACGTACTAACGTACTATAACGTACTAACGTACCAACGTACTAACATACTAACGTACGTACATACATACCTCCTCCCCCCCCCCCCCGGCCAAAATTTTTCCTGTATAACGTACTAACCGTCCTAACGTACTAACTACTAAACGTACTCACGTTCCTAACGTACGTACATACATCCCCCCCCCCCCCCCCCCCGGGCCAAAATTTTTTTTCTGCGTACCTACCTACCTACCTACCTAGCTACCTATATATCTACCTACCTACCGCCGTCGTAGCAACGTTCTAAAGTACTAAGGTACCTACCGTACTTTTGAAGTTCTCACGTCCGAACGCACCTACGTGCGCACGTACTAACGTACTCCTGTACTAGCAACATACTAACGTACTAACGTACGTACGTACTAGCGTACTAACATAGTAACGTATTAACGTATTATCGTGCTCACGTACTCACGTACTGCCGTACTGTAACGTACTAACGTACCACCGTACTAACATACGTACATGCATACCTCCTCCCCCCCCGCCAAAATTTTTACTAAGGTACCTGCCGTGCTGCCAACGTCTACTAGTAAGGTCCTCAGGTCGGAACGTACCTACGTGCGCACGTACTGCCGTACTCATGTACTAGCAACATACTCGCGTAGTAACGTACCAGCGTACTACTTTGATGGGCTGTGGGTTAGCTAAGGAGTTAGGTGAGTTAAGATGATTAGAAATGGCAGTTATAAAAATTAGCTAACTAGTTAAGTAGTACCACAGAAGTAGTGTATAACATAAGATTTTCCGTGACATGTGCATGCTTTCATGTGTGCTTTTGAACGACAAAAACAGGATTTACGAGATGAAAATTTTCCCGTGGCCAGTGGCCGATGACATGGGAATGGCTCTGTGCTTTTGGATTTTAAGGTTGTTGTTTAAAAAAAGGCGGGCAATATGAAATTTTGAATCCTTCATTTCCTGGCTAAACATCATGTGGAAAAGCAACTTCAACTCATGCAGAAAGAAGCACCATGGTGCTGAGCAAGGAAGATAAAGACATGCCATGTGAAACTCTGAAAATATTCCATGTTGTTTTTAAGCAGCTTTTGTTTGTCTTGCAGCTGCTATTTCATGGCATGTTTGCATGACCATGTTTGTCATGTGCATATAGCATGATCCAAAGGAGCATGCTTGGACTCATCATGTAAGCAGCTTTTCTTTGTCTTGCAGCTGCTATTTCATGGCATGTCTGCATGACCATGCTTGTCATGTGCATGTAGCATGACCCGGAGGTGCATGCTGAGAGAGAAGATCCATGTTTTTTTTTCGCTGTCGTGAAACGGAGAGCCAGGCCCTCGAAGAAGTTTGTCAGCTACGGAGGTGCAAAGGGATTAAAGTGCGGACACAATTCGTGTCTCTCAAATAAACCACCGCTGTCAGGATGTCTTTGCTCTCGATAATCACAGGCTGCTCCATCTCGGTCCACACTGCACAGTGCTTGTCCTTGTTGTACTCCTGCAAGCTCCAAAGGGAGACCACGGACCACAATGTGCCTTGCACGGAAACATGGCAAAAAACTTCGGCACAATCCCAAGGAGGGTCCCGCCCTTTGTCTGCCTGCAGCAAACACACGTCTGCCTTGCTTGCCAACCCACCACCAGGAAGCCGTAGAATCGTTGCGATCTTCATCTCATCTTTGGAGACTTGTGGGAAGCTCTGGAGCACCAGATCCCTCAGCTTGGGGGGGGCTTCTGCCGTGGGTTTTCCAGAGCGAGGGCGACCGGAAACTCGGGCAGCTTCTCCAAGTGCCACAGCTCATGGGCAAGCACTTCCTCGTAGAGGGATCGCTCGAAGGTGCTGGTGTTCTGGATGGATGCTGCATGTCTGGTGATTGTCCTGTGCTTCCGCTCCATGCTGAATGTTGCAGGCAGCCTCTTGTGCTTTTCATAGTGGTCACCCATATGCAGCAACCAGTGCATCTTGCGGGGTACGTGCTCCCCCCAGCCCGTTTCGAACCAAGAGCTCATGCACTTGTCGGCGGCCTCTCGCAACATGGATGGAATCACACAACCATGCCCATGACAGGCGGCCTGCAATAGTTCCACCATAAGGCACATCTGCAAAAAAGCTTCGCACTCGGATGGTAGGAAGCCTTTGTCAACGATGCAGGTTCGGACGAAAAAGGCGAGGACCGGCAGCAAACTGAGCATTTCGGAAGCTGTCGTTTTGAACTTCCCCGCTTCTCTACAGGATTTCATCCGCTTGTTCTCGAAGACTTGCTTCAGCTTGACGTGTGCGAAGGAAGCCGGCTGTGTCCACAGATCCACGTATTTCTCCAGAGTGGCAAAAACATCCTTGAAGCCATGGTCCTTCGTGGCACTGAGAAGTAACCAGGTCGCATCATTCAATGTTCCATTACTCAAGCAGCAATGCATCCAATCGTGCACGAACATGGTTGCTGGTTTGACCACCCTCCTCAGCAGAGGCTCCGAAAAAATGCTTTCTGTGTTGAAGCTCCACCCAGTGGCTTGCTGCCACATGCCAAAGTCTTTGGCAGAACACCGACCCTTCAGGTTGGCGAGCCTCGACCAAGAATCCCAAATATCGTCATCCGAAACCAAATGCAAGTCAGCATGTGCATGCTTGGGGATCTTCTCTTCGTTGCGATTGTCGGCTCGCTGATTGCCACACAACAAACAATACTTCGAACCCGAGTCACCTTTCACACTCCAAGCGAATTTGTGAGCTGCCCCGTCTTGTATTACCATGCTTGGCTCGAATGACAAATGAAACCCGCCCTTCGGCCCCTGCATCCAAACACCTGCCGCCGGGTCATGCTTGGAGTGCAAGAAGATACTGCGAAAGATGATTTTGAAGATCTGGCTGATACTTCCCTCCAGCGAGGCCACAAAAGAGCTTCTCAGCAGTGCGATGGTGAGCCAGGCCTCTTCCATCGCAAGCACTTGTGCAGGGAAGTCTATGCATGAGAGATAGATGCACCAGCTCTTCCTCGAGGTTCGGGCAGCAAGGACATTGCCTGGGATTACCTCGTCTGAGTAGATCGCGAATCGGAGTGGCCTTCCGCCGGCTTTCTCTGCACAGCTCCGAAGCAAGTCGTAGAAAGCACCACCGGCACGGCAAATCCCATCCAGCAAGCTGAAAACATTCACCAGCCAAAAGGCGACCGTGCCACCAGACACTGTCTTGGCTTCCTGCTTCTCCAAGAGAGGCCCGTAAGCTTCCCTTTTGCCCAAGTACGACCTTGTCGCTTCTCTCATCTGCTTCGGGTCTGTCAGCTCTGGCATGCCATGATCATGAATATCCTGCAAGAGGCCATGCAGAGCACTCTTACTACAGTAAGGTGCTGCTCTTCTCAAAGAGTTCAACCGTTGCAGCTTCTGTGGCCGGTTGTCTTCGAAGAAGAGGAAGACATTATTGCTCAGGTAGAATCAATCGAATTTGGATGCAAGCAGACTATATGCAGAATGCATCTGCACATCTATAGATGCATTCAAAACTCAGCTACATCAACATAAATCTACAAAGTAACAAAAAATAAACAAAGTCCAACCCTGCAACTTCAAACCCCAATATAAATGTAGCTGTACACACCTACACACCGCCAGAATGTACATCGGACGGAACTGTCGACGAGAAAATTCTGCGACCCGTATGGGTGCCAACTGCAAGACTTGGCTATTGAGCCTTACACAGTCCATGCATATGCATGGAGCTTCAACTCAACACTGCCACAGCACAAAACCCGGGAACCGCCAAACAGAATGACGGTTGCATGTCTGTCTACAGAGCAAAACATATAACAAAGCATCCAGGCCACACAGTGGACTGGGAGGGTAGCTCCAAATGTGAAAACACACGAACCTGTGGGCCCTAAGCGCCATTTCCGAGGCAATCTTTAAGAAGCAAAAGGAAAGCAAAGCAAGGAACAGTTCATAAAGAACCCAAGCCGAATCAGCATGGCATGCCTGCATAAGCCCTGTCATGCAGAGCTGCGTGGAGCTATCTGGCCATGCAAACATGAAGCCCGGCTGGGCTGCAATGATTTTTTGTTCTGCTGCTCGCTTGCCCGCTTCGAATCAAGCAGGATGCCATGGAACACGGTTGCAGTGATTAATGCACCGGGCAGCTTTTGCTGTACGAAGCAGCTTTTGCTGCAGTGCGAAGCTATATATATAGCTACCCACCCATTGAAAACACCAAGGCTAACTCAGTCACTTCTTGCTCTTGGACTTCTTGTTGTCTTTGGACTTCTTGTTGCAGGCTTTACCCTTTGCGAGGGCAAGCTGCCGTTTGGCATACCACTCCTTCCATTCCTCCCTGGTCAGGCGGAGTCCATTGAACCCCGGATCCTGCCACTGCGAACATCCTGTTCGACAGCCACGGCAGCGAATACAACCAAGTTTTAGCGGGTCTGCACTGGCTTTCCCAACCGGCTCGGCTGCACTGGCTTTGGCCGAAGGCCTCTTCATGACTGCTTTGCCCTGATCTGGAGCTCCTCGCTTCTTATTTTCTCCCGGCTTGCTTTGGCCCTGCAAAGCCTTGAAAGCCTCTTGCTCGATCGCCTCGAGCTTGCTACTGCTTGCAGGTGTTGTCACGGGGGTTTCCTTCACATGCTCTTGGGGCTGGGGCTGCTCTGGGGCATCCTTTTCTGCAGGCACTACCTGAGTCAGGAGAGGGGGGGGAGCCACCGAGGAAGGAGTCTGCAGCATGGAATCTCTGGTGCATTGCTGGGCTGGCACTCGCGGGGACGAGGAGGGCTGGGCGGCATGCTGGGGCGAGGCAATGTTCTGCAAAGCCTGCAAACTGCTCGAAGCAGCGAGGCTGGGGGGCACATGGCCCGTGCTTTGCATGTTTGTGCTTGCTTGCCCACATTGCATACCCAATGCTGTGGAGCATGGCTCCTGCAAAGCTGCCAAGCTGCCAAACTTTGGCAGCTGCAATGCATTCAAGCTGTTCATGCCCGTGTTGCCGACCGTCTGCTGCAAGAACTTGTGCATCAGGACTTGCATTTGTGCGGCATCCTCGCAAGCATTCTTGCCCTTAGTCTTATTCTTCTTCTCTTGATTCCACGACAACAAACTCGACGTGCTTCGCACCGGTGTCTCATGAGCCACCCGGGCTACAAGACCTGGGAGGTCTCTCGGCTCCGGTGGGTCCTCTGGGTCATAAGCATCCTTTACGAAGCCCGGTCCGAGCTCTGATGGATGCAAAGGATACATTGTGACCCCTGTTGCTCTTCGTGGCACTTGCACACTGAGGAAGACTTTGTGCAATTGCTCTGCGAGTCTGTAGATGTCGTCGTACGAAGGAGCAATGCCAAGTCTCTCAATCTGACAAGTGACGATGATGGCGGTGGCATACTTTTTCGTCTCTTCTTTGAGACTGGTAAGGCCGAGCCTCCTGAGCCGCTCGGCCACAAACAAAAGAAGAATCCCAGCTGCTCGAAGTAGACAACTTCGCCCAATCTGTCTTGGACAAGTAGTTGGAGAGTTGCACGAGGGTCTGGGGTTTGCTAGTGAGTCGAACCTGGGACTGACCAGCTAGTGTGGGGCCTGCAGCATCATCCAAAGCTTTGAGCAACCCGTCTTTGCTGTTGCCGGACAAGCTAGATTGGGTCACTGCTTCCATCATTTTGCACAGCTGCTCCGCCGTCCATCCCGGGCGATGGGCCATGCGATCTTGCAGTGCCTCCACGAGCTTAGCCTCCATGTCGGTGCCGGGCCTCATGCTCACCAGCCTCTGGATGGAGTTTAGCTCCTGCACGAAGTCATCGGCCGTCCACCGAGCCATGGTCTCTCAGACCAAGCAAAGGACCACAAGTGAAACAGAAGTCGCCTAAACCAAGAATGGCGACAAGTGTTCATGCTAGGATTCCTCGTGTAAGTACAATTATAAGTCTTCTACTTAAAAGTACTACTACGACCACGACGATAAAGGAGGACTATTAAGACTGACTACCAGGAATGCTGGACTACTACTACTACTGATAGCACTACTACTACTACTACTACTACCACCACCAACATTACTGCTTGTGCGACTGCTACGACTATACTACTACTACTACTACTACTACTACTACTACTACTACTACTACTACTACTACTACTACTACTACTACTTCCACTACTACTACTACTACTACTACTACTACTACTACTACTACTACTACTACTACTACTACTACTACTACTACTACTACTACTACTACTACTACTACTACTACTACTACTACTACTACTAGTACTACTACTACTACTACTACTACTACTACTACTACTACTACTACTACTACTACTAGTACTACTACTATTACTACAACTCCTACGACTACTACTACTACTACTACTACTACTACACTACTACTACTAACTACTACTACTACTACTACTACTACTACTACTACTACTACTACTACTACTACTACTCTACTACTACTACTAGTACTACTACTAGTACTAGTACTACTACTACTACTACTACTACTACTACTACTACTACTACTACTACTACTACTACTACTACTACTACTACTACTACTACTACTACTACTACTACTACTACTACTACTACTACTACTACTACTACTACTACTACTACTACTACTACTACTACTACTACTACTACTACTACTACTACTACTACTACTACTACTACTACTACTACTACTACTACTACTACTACTACTACTACTACTACTACTACTACTACTACTACTACTACTACTACTACTACTACTACTACTACTACTACTACTACTACTACTAGTACTACTACTAGTACTACTACTAGTACTACTACTAGTACTACTAGTACTAGAAATGACACAATGCCCCCCGATTCAGTCGCCTCGCGATGCGAGTGACTTCAACCCACCCAGCAGCCAGGACCCACCAAAGTCCCACATACTTTTCCATTCATCCGTATGAAATAACGATGCATAGGAACACCCCAACTACATCACCTATAGTGCTCCTGGTTCTGGAGTCATTTTAAGGACAAGGCAAGCACTACAAGCAGTGCTGCATGGCAAGTTCTCAAAAGCACAGTTGGCTGTGCTGCATGACAAGCACTGCAAGCAGTGCTGCACGGTTGCATGTTTCAAGAAGCACCGGCAGGGTGCTGCATGGCATGTGTTGAAAAGCACAGTTGTCTGTGCTGCATGGCAAGCACTGCAAGCAGTGCTGCATGGTTTGACAAACAAGATGCAACCCTTGCTGCTGGGAAGGCTTGGGGCTTGAAAGAAAGGTATATGGTGTCCCTAGGAGCACTAGTGGTTGCTCGTGCTTGGGAAGCTACACGGCTCCAGGCGGTGGCGGCTACGGCTTCGGGGTTGGCTTCGGCGGGCTGTGGGCTCGGGGTTGGGTTGGCTTCGGGCTGAGCATGAGGGCTGTGTGCTCACCTAGAAAACACGATTTCTGGGCTTGGGGTTTGTTGGGGCCAGGCTTCTGCTACAGCTTCAAAGGAAGAAGGTTGTCAAAGCATGGTTTGATGCAAAGTTGCTTAAAAACAACTTGGTATACATAGACCCTGAACAAAGTTGTTCCAGAACATCTCTGATCCGAGATTTCCAAACCCAAGATGTTCCAGAACAACTTGGAATCCAGATTCCTGTATCCCAGTTGCTTAAAAACAACTCTGTGTCCAAGGACCCTAAACCAAGTTGTTTTTAAGCAACTTTGCTTAAAACGGTCGATCCACTCTTTTTCATACCGCCGCTGCCTGGCTGTGATCCTTCAGTAGTTATACTGAGGGTCCTGTCCATGTCTCTCCCAGTACGAGGAGTGGTCCTGGAGCCTTTTCGTAAAGGTAGGATCGCCTCTGAACTTCTCCACCAAGTGGGCACAGCGCTCGTTGTCCCCGACCATGAAGGCGTTCGCCAAGGCCACACAGCGACAAAGCCAGCCGCTCTGGAGCTTCGTTGACCTCCTCGCATCCTCGAACTCCACAGTGGTGCCCTGTACCGCAGAGCTCGAAGCCGCCCTCGCCTTCTTCAAAGGAGGAGGTCTGCACACCCCGGCCTTCTCGAACTCATCTTTCTCCTCCTCGGCCTGTGCAGCTGGAGCCTTCTGCTGCATCCTTCGCTCCTCCTCCTCCTCAAGCATGGCCTGCAGCTGCTCGTACTCCGCCTTGACATCCTTCGGCATCGGCGGGGGCGGTGGCGGCGAAACTCCCGCTTTGGGTCGCAGCTCCTGCTTCATAGGCGGAGCCTTCCAAGGCAGCTGAGCCGGAGCAGCCACCAGCTTAGGCGGAGCAGCCACCCCCATCTCCGCCTTCACGGAGGAGTCATCTGCAGCAGTAGACGTGGGCTCCACCTTTACTTCCTCCTGCTTGGTCAAAGGCTCCTTGGCTCTAGTACACTGTCGGATGCTCTTTGGTAACGGTGGGGAGCTGTCTTGAATCCGGAACAACGGAACTTTAACTTCTGCTGAAAGAATCAAGACTCTGGTCCAACCCCGGCCCACACGAAGTCCAGCGGATCTGCAAGCGGATCTGCAGCAGCTGTGGTGCTTCCTCCAGGGTGTGAGGCTTGTGGTTGCAAAATGTGGGGTTTGGTGTTTACAGTTCATGAGTTGGCTTCTAGAGGGTTTTGGCGCTTATAAGGTTCGGCCTTCAGTTAAGGGATTCCGGAAGGACTGCAAGCAAATGAAAATGAACAGTTTGGGTTTTGGGGTTAGGGGTTTGTGCAAGGGCAGGCAAAGCCATGATGAACAGGAAATGCACAGGACTGCTTGCACCTGCAAACAAAACTCCATGCAAGGAAGTCAGGATCATGGAAAGCCCCGGAAGCAGGACTGCATGGAAAGCCCTGCAAGCAGGACTGCATGCAAAGCCCTGCAAACAGGACTGCATGACTGGAAGCAACCATCATGAAAGCCCTACAAGCAGGACTGCATGAACTGAAAACAGAGTGAAGAAACTCTGCGACCCATACTGCTTCAGATCAAACCAATCTATGCATTCGCAGACTATATAACCCTGATGCCCGGGCAGTCCTTGACCATCGGAGCCTGAAGCTGGCTCGACTGGCTGGGAGGCAGCAGTCAGACCAGGTTGTACCGAAAAGAGGTGAGGATAGGAAGCCGCCGCACGTTCCCACCAGTCTTGGTCGCCAACAGGCAAGCCTTTGAACCAAGCACCCCATTCGGCAGCCGTCCAGCCCAGGATCTGTTCATAGATCCACGTCTGGTCCTCCTGGCTGAGGTACAAAGGCTCCCACAGCCTCGAGTCGGCCATGGCCCAAAACCCCCTCGGAGGCACCACTACTTTAAGTAGTTCTGTCTTATAGTGTCGCAGAGTGAAGCTACAGTTGCCTGCTCTAAGTAGCAAAGTCAAGTGATGCCCTTGGAAGGTCAACTATATAGGCCCTCGATGTTGAAGCTTGACACGGAAGTCCAGCACGATGCCGTCTATCTGTGCAGGTTGCCGAATATTAATATGATTGCAGAACCCATGCACACTCTGATTGTGGTTTCTAGTCATGCACATGAACCCATGCATGTGACATGAAAGCCTTCTTGAATGCTTCAACTAACAACACGGCAGCACCTGCATCTTGAGGCGGCACGGGTACATAAAGAATCATTGACCCTGGCTCTCCTGCACCACAAAAACTAACAGATTCTCCTGACTGCAACCTGCAATGCATGATGAAAGCCTCTTTGCAAAGAAGACTGCAAAAGCGCTATTTCTTAAGCCACCTTAAACCCTGCCAAGAAGCCTGCATGCATGTGTCATGGTATAAGCCCTGCCAAGAGGACTGCATGGTAAGCCCTGCCAAGGACTGCATGTGTCATGGTAAGCCCTGCCAAGAGGACTGCATGGGTCATGGTAAGCCCTGCCAACAGGACTGCATACACCACAACAAAACAAGCTTTTCAAGGAGATCCCTACATTGCAAGCAAGCAGGAACCCTTGCTGTGTTGCTTTCTACTTTTCTCTTAACTATTCTGCATGTACACTGCACAGGACCATGCACAGGATTGTCGTGTTTTATACTCCAAATGCAAGCAGCTTCGCAAATCAATCCGAATGATCACTCGGCTCGTCGGAGTCCTTCTTCTCAGCGACCCTACGTCTCTTGTAACGGCGCTTTTCTTCCGGATCTGCATCCTTCAGAGAAGCTTCTCAAAAGCACATTAACCCAGAACAAACCAAAAAAATATTACATTATACAGTCCTCAGTGATCTTGGTGAAGACTTTGTCCAAGGTATCCGACTCCATCAGAACTAAGAGATCTGTGCTCGCCTTGTGCTTCTGCTGCAAGCCGATCTGGAGACCGTCCACCATCACGAACTCAAGGGTTGTGGAAGCTAGCTTGGCGGGTTTTTTTATTTTCGGTTCTGTGAAAAGGTCGTCAGCACCACTTCCTTTTTTTTTAGTCTCTTCCTTGATTGCCTTGGCGATTGCATCCTCCCTGCCCTGTCTCAGCTGCTGCAGCCCAGGGGACGAGGTCAGGCTACCTGCGGTTCTGGCACCAAGCAGCAACTTCATGAGTGTTCGGTTCGAAGGCTGAACTTTCAAGTAATTCAGTTCCCCGATGCTGACGATGAGCTCCGGCGGCACAACTATTTGGCGATCCCGCCACGTGAGACTCGTGCTCGTTCCAATCGTCACCATGACACCAAAGGCCCAAACAGCAAAACTTGCTTGAACACTCAGCTTGCAGGAAAGGAAACATGATGAGGAACGACACAGCATGCAGGCTCGCAAACCAAAAAGCACGTTTGTGCTGTTCCCAAGCAAGCAACAACAATTTGTTGCTACATGGCCAAAACCAGTGAGCATGTCCTAGCACGAACCAACGGAGGCGACACGAAACCTTCTTGAAGCTCTGCAGTGGCAAATCAAACCAAAATCAATCGACCCATAGCACCATGAGCATCACGAAGGCCGTGACGGTGGCAATCAAGCACTCGACCCACAGCACCATGAGAATCGCGAAGATCGTCACGGCGGCGATCACGTCGTCTTTCTCTTCTTGCTGCTGGAGCCATGCCCATCCTTCTTCTCCAGCAAGTCCTTGCTGGCCTGCAACAAGATAGACTGGGCCGAAAGTTTCTTCACATTCGTGAGCATGGGAAGCTTCATCCCATCCAACGTCTTCCAAGAAATCGTCATGCTCACATCCTCTTCCTTGGACGTCGTCTTCACATAGTAGAAAGGCACGATAACTTCCGTGGGCTTCGGCCTTATCTTGCACAACACAGATACAAGAACTCTTCAAACGAAAACCCCAGACATATAGGCTTTACCACAAAATCCTATCCTGCTTAAGGCGATAGTCTCGTCGAAGTCTTTGAGCTGTGGCCACGGGGACAACTGAAACTTGGCACCTTTCCACTCCACAAACAAAGTGAGTTTCGAAGCATCTTTCGGCTTGGACAAGATTGCCAAGGGGACGAGCTTGAGCTTCTGAGCCGGGAAGCTGATTGAAGTGTAAATGTTCGTGGGGGTCACGATGTCCAAGGCCGCCGAATCGCCGGAGTTGTGATCCTGGTAGAGTTTGAAGAGCATCTGTTGGGCCTCGGCAAGCAACTCGGCCTCGGCCAAAACGGAAGACTTTCCATACATGAGCCCTTCGGCTGCATCCTTTGCCAAAACCCTGGGAAGTGGCAGCCTCGTCGCCTTCCACTTGCGGAAAAGGTCAGGGGGCACCAAGACGGTTTCGGGGGAGCCATAAAGGGGGGTGTGCACGAATTGGGCCTCGTCGTTTTCGAGACCCGTGAAAACAAAGATCTTGTCTGGGTAGTCGGCATGCACGTATCTGCCATCTTTCTTCAAGTGCTTGTTCTGCAACAAAGCCTGCTCTCCTACACTCAAGCCACCCAAGAGGTCCAAGGCCGGCTCCTCCTCTGAATCCTTCCCGTCGGCTTTTGCCGCACTGGCAGAAGCTGCACTGTTCGTGGCTTCTGAAGCAAAGAGCTGGGCTACGTGCTCCGGGCTACGATACACCTCCAACTTCTCGCGGCCCAGCTTCTCTTTCTTGACCAAGATCAAGCTCAGGCGAACCATCATGAGCCCCAAAGCTCGTTGAACGACGGTTGTCTTCCCGGAATCCACGTACACGTGGTAGGCATGAGCCACCATCTGCTCGGCTTTCAAGAGGTTCTGCCGAAGATTGGCACCTTTCAGCCTGTCCAAGTCCGATTTCACGAGCAACCGGGCCGTTCCGTCTACAATCTTGGGGCTCGTGAGCTGGCATGCAAGAAGGCTAGCCCTGAGGAACGGGAATTGGGTACTTGCCTCCTGCAAGTCCCACGAGGTAACCGCCTTAAACAGTTCCTCTCCGATGCACACTGTGATACTCAGCTCCTTACAGAAATCCGACAAGAAGCTGATGAGGGGGAAGTCCGGTCCTCCCCCAAACTTTTGCACGTACAGCCCCACGAAATCCATGTAGGAGTGGCAGGCGGGTCTCGAAGCCTTGACAGACTGAATGGCATCTTTGAAGCTCTGACCGGAGGAGACCAGCAGGGCAACCTGTTGAGCCGCTTCCATTTCTTGGATGCCGAGTCCGACAGAGTGGACACTGTTGAGCACCATCTGGACGAAGGCTGGCAAGGTTGGCACCAGAAATTCCGCTCGCCAAGAAAGGACAAGCCAGGGCCATCCCTTCGAGACCGCCTCTTTGAGGGCCTCGTCCTCGAGGTTCAAAAAGCCGCCAGCAGCACCTGGCCTTTTGCACCGGTGCTGGGAGGCCTTCAAAAAGGCGGTGGTGTGGCTGGAGGACACCGTCATATACCGCTCGCTTCCCTGGAGTGGGGCGAGCAAGCCCGAAGACTTCTGTACAAGGGCCTCGTTCGCCTCCACTTGCACCCGCCGTTGGGTCTCATGCGGGCTCAATTCGAAACAAATCGAATCCGTGAGAAGAGACCTTCTGAATCCTAACTCGAGAATCTTTTGGCCTTTGTCATGCACGTCCAGTGCATTGATCATAGCCCCTCCTCTATTGTGGGGATGGACCAGGAAGTCGTTGGGGCACAACATCGTGGAGTATGCCAAACCATTCTCTTTCAAGAAAGTGGTCAAGCGGTCGAGCCGCTTGTTCGGCGGCACGTCCGTGTCGTCCATAATCGCCCGGATCGCTGCCTTGAGGGTGTTGTCGTCCATCGTGGCACGGTGGGGTTGCCTAGAGAGGTGGCTGCTGTGCACGTCTTTGAAGTTTCCAGCTGAAAACAAAGTACCAATGGATTTCCTTTGCTGCTTGCCATGCATGAAGTATGTAGCAATGGTTTTCCATTGCTGCTTGCATGCATACCACATCCGAGTTTAAACTAAGAAGTGGCTCTCCGGCTTTTGCACCCGATTTTCCACGGCCGATCCAGTTAGTCCATGCTGTTCAAATCAGTCGCTTGCCCCTGCGACAAACTCTGGAGGGCCATTCGGTTCTGCCTCACCGTGCAGGATGGCTTGTGCATCCCAAGGCCTGACTTGCACCAGCTGCAGCACCACTGGTGAGGAGTCGTGGTCATCCTATCGCACTGTGGCGACCCTTGACAAGGAATCCTAGTGCCTGCCGGGAGCTCACGATTGCGATGTGCTTGCACATCCTGACATCTGCTCGAATGCCCACCATAGTTCTTCCGACATTGGGAGCAGCAATGTCTCTTCGAAGGTTGGCAAAGTCTGTCGCAGCCAGGAGTCGCACAGGGATGCCACCCATCCATGATCCGCAAAACCAGAACTCAAAATCGAAACAAAGCTCGGGCACAAAACTTTTATGCAACCTATACAGAATCACAACAATCATGCATCCAACCAAAATGCCCCCAAGGCCCAGGCATGTCATGCACTGTCAGCCCCGAAGGACTACCATGACAAAAGCCACGAAGGATTGCATGACATGAGTGGAGCCCCGAAGGACTGCCATGTTGAAAGCCCCGGAGGACTGCATGTCAAAAGCCCCGAAGGACTGCATGTATTATCCAACCCGAAGGACTATTAAAAACCCGAAGGACTGCAATATCTAAAGCCCCCAAGGGCTGCATGTCATGCAGAAAGCCCCAAAGGACTGGAATGTGAAAAACCACAATGACTGCATGCATGTCATGCATAAAGCCCCCATGAAGGGCTATAAAGACCCGATTTAAGGACAATCATGTCAAAAGTCCCCAAGTGCATGCCATGTATACAGCCCCGAAGGACTGCCACATGAAAGGCACCAAAACACTGCATGTGAAGTGTATAGCTCCGAGGAACTACCATACCAAAAGCCACAAAAGACTGCATCTCATGTATCAAGCCAGGAAAGAAAGATGATTCAAACAATGGTTTATGCTTCCTTAAAAACATAGATTTCGCAAGTGCTAAAATCAAGATAAAATTAACATGAAATTAGCTTTAGCCTAAAAATACAAAAATCTTAGCATCTCATGTAATCAATTAGCATACTTATAAGTCTTTAGTCAGCACTTAGTCCATGGTTAGAACACTGTTACAGTACGGTTACCAATCCCTGTAACAATCTTAAGTCATTAGCCAAAGGACAGCCCATCAAAGTACTGACTAACGTATTAACGTACTAACGTGCTAACGTGCTAACGCACTACCGTACTAACCTACTATCGTACCTACATACCTACCTCCCTCCCCCCCCCTGCCAAAAATTCTTTTGCGCACGTTCTGCCGTGCTAAGGTACTAACGTACTGACGTACGTACATGCACACCTCCTCCCCCCCCCTGCCTAACCAAAAATTTCCTGCATGCCTACCCACCTAGCTACCTGTCTACCTGCCTACCACCGTGCTACCAACGTTCTAAAGTACTAAGGTCCAACACACCTGTATGCACATACTTTCACTTTCCTCGTTGCCAAAGATCCAGCTTCAGCTAACGCACCTGAGGACAGATTCTAGAATCCGGCACATAGGTGCTGCACATGTGTGCATCCTCATCGCAGACTGTTCGTATGCACATACATACATACATACATACATACATACATAGCTCCACAAAGTTTGTTGGGTTGTAAAAAAACCCGGGGAGAGAAGGGCAGGGGAGGGCAAGGGAGATGCAGGCAGGAACATACATACATACATACATACATACATACATACATACGTGCCTCCCCCCCTGTGCAACTTTTTTTCCTGGCCGTACGTTCTGTCGTCCTAACGTACTAACGTACTCAGGTACTCCTGTCGGTGTGACAACGCACTAACGTACTAACGTACTAACGTACTAACGTACTAACGTACGCACCCCAGGTACGTACGTACCTACGTTACCCCCCCCTGGGGTTCTTACTGCCCCCAATGTCTCTGGGTTCACAGAATGTATACCTCCAAGATACCCCAGCTTGCTTGCAGTATGGTTTTAGCACAGCGGCCTATGCAGGAAACCAGAAAAAAGGTAAACCCAATAAAAGCACTCACCGTGCAAGGTCTTGTGTTAGCTACCTAGCCAGCTCCTCAAGCTGGATGAGGAACAGGTTCCCTTTTTTCGGTCTTTGTGATGCCAGGCACGGGGAGACTTGTGGGACCACGCGTCGAAGGGGCTGCCATGAGGGTACGGTAGTCGCCAGATGTGCAGAGGGTCATGGAGGGTCCCGGAAGGGAAGGACTCAAGATGCACATTGAATCTGTCAAGCCCTGAACCCTGTCCCCTAAACCGACGCAGCTCTTCAGTAGCTGCAGAGACATTCCCTGCACGTTCTGGCACGATGAAAGCGCGGCATGAGCCTGATGTTGTGGCTACTTCTCTGTTCACCCCAGGGACTGCTTGCTATGCGTCTCAGGATCCTGCCGCTTGCACGGTGATCACATGGCAGGCCCAGGGACACAGCTGCGATGCAGCGCTCGCCTGCCGCCCTCTGCGGTCCTTGTAGTCGGAATGCCTCGGCCGCAGCTGCGCGGAACGGGCTCGCACGTTGCTGTGCCACACGCCTCAGCCCAGCTCACGTTCTTTGACTTGCCAGGAGGCGCACTTTCAAGATCGTCCGCACATGTTCTGGGCTGCACAGCAGCAAAGTAACTAGGGATCTGGGGGGTATCCTGGTCTTGGCTGCTGCACATGAACCTTTATTGGGCTGAAGGAGCCGACCGCGCCAGTGAAATGAGTGTCGTTAGCTTTCCGAACTCAATTTGGGTATTCACATGATGCGGAAGCTTCCAAAAATTAGGGGTACCTTATTTTGGGGTCCTAATAGGGATCCTACTTTTTAGGGTACTATATTAGGGTCCCCTATTTTCGGAAACTCCCATACGGCAACTAGCTTCAGTCCTGCCTTGTTTGGTGAAAGTCGTCGAAGTGGGTAGACAGGCTTGTAGAAGTCGTGCGGGCTTCGGAGGGTTGATCAACCGGGTTTAATGCATTGTACAGGGTTGGTGATTGCATTGGTTGCTCGTCGTTTTTCTTTTGTAAGATTTTCAAATCCTATAGGTGTTTGGTGCTGATGATTGGGTCAGTGTAGGGCTGTTGCACTTGCACAACTGGCTATTAGGGTTTGTATTTTTGTTGGGGATTTGGCATTTGATAGAGTTAACTCGGCTTGAGGCCGAGTTTGATGAACCCTTGAATTTGCCGACAGGCTCTACAGCTTGCAGATTGGGAGAGTGCTCGCATATCCCTCGCATATCGTAGAGGAAATTTCCATGTTGTAGTCTGTGCAGAGTGGTTACGTACTGTGGGCAGCAGCTGGTTGCATAAGAGGAGGGAACATAAAGATGGACTAGTGATTATTGGCTTGGTTAGCAAATAGATGAGTCTGAATCTCACATATGAGTACCCCAATATGGGTGTGTTTTTGATCGGAAGTCTTTGAATAAATATATCCCGAAATATCTATCCCGAATCGTATTCTGAAATATGCTCCTGGAATTTATTCCCATATTATCTAAATTAGCAATGAGCGAAAACTAGATTAGCTCAAAAAAA